AGCATTTTGAAAAACCCTAACTTAACTCTGGTGCCGTGTCACATATAGAAATTTTTTAATATTTGCAACCATAGTAAAACAAAGATTTATATTTTTGATATATATTTTATATATTTAAATGCCATTTAACAGAGAAAAATCAACCAAAAAAATGAGTTCGCGTGTCACCTCTGACACGTGTGTCATAGGTTCGCCATCACTGGTCTATGGGAAGACAGAGTTTAAGAAGAGATCCACTGAAAGTGGGCTTGAGACTGTATGGGCAGGGAATTCTGGGATCCAGCGTATAGTTGGAGGTGGTAGAGTCAGGGGCTTTAGGTAGGTTTTTCCTCTTGGTCCCATGAACATCTTGCCTTGAGGGGATAGGTAAGTTAGAAGGGGGTCAGAGTGGATCTGTCTAAAGTGTGAGACCCAGAAAATGGTTCTTTACCACAGCCAAGGGTGGTACTAGTGCCAGGACTTTAACCCAGGTCCATCTCACCAGACTGTCTGTTGTCAACAGTAAGAGAGCCTGAATTTACAGAGAAGGGGAGTGTTGGCTTACTGTCTGGTGAGTAGAACAGGGATGGAAACAGCGGGTTCAGCCTTGTTATGTCATGCCTGGAGAAGTGCTTATATGGACCAGGTTTTAAATGAGCCAGTCTTTTTCTCCTTTAAAAATACTACTTAGCGTTTGCTCTTAGAATCTAGAGAATTTAAGAAGTAAAGAAAGAAACTTCCCCTTATTTTAAGTGTATTCTGATCTTTGTGTAGTTTAAGTGGCATAGTATGAGGAGACATAGTCAATTTTTCTTTTTTAAATTTTATTTCAGAGAAGAAGGGAGAGTGAGAGAGAGATAGAAATATCAATGATGAGAGAGAATCATTGATCGGCTGCCCCCTACACATCCCCCACTGGGGATCAAGCCCGAAACCCAGGCATGTGCCCTGACGGGCATCAAACTGCAACCTCCTGATTCATAGGTTGATGCTCAACCATTGAGCTACACAGGCTGGGTGTCAATTTTTCTTCTAACAGTAGGTGAGGCAGATGCATTTGGGTCTATTATGTATTTGTCTGTAGTTTATACTAAACAAGAATTTCTTAAATATGTGTTTGTTTTGCCTAGTTAGAGTAAAGCAATATATAAAAGGACCAGATTATGGTTTCTTTTTTATTTGTATCATACATTATAGGTAGATTAGGCATCATTATAAGGTCCTAAAATTTTCAATTGTCTGGAATTGATCTCAGACTTATGAAGAGAGAGCGGTGTATATTTTGATGGCTATGGGGAAATACAGTATTTTTTTTTTTTAAATCCTCCCCAGAGGAGTGAGGATTTTTTTTTCCATTGATTTTTTGAGAAAGTGGAAGGGGTGGGGGGGGGGGGGGAGAGGAAGAGAAACATTGATGTGAGAGAGACACATCCATTAGTTTCCCCCCAGCCCATGCCCTGATCGGGACCAGGGATTGAACCTGCAACCAAGGTACGTGCCCTTAACTGGGAATCGAACCCTTGACCCTTCCGTCCAAGGGCCAACGCTCTAACCACTGAGAAACCCAGCCAGGGCTGGAAATGCAGTTTTGATGTAGAATGGTATTTCTTCATCATACACATTGTTGGGGTTGTAGAATACATTTGGGTTCTGGTCATTCTTATAATCCTCAGGACACCAAACTCAAGATTGACTGTTAACCATGCTACTCATCAGACCCCATACTTGAAGCATTCTTAAGTCAGTTGAAACCTGCACGTCCACATGCACACATGATCTTGGACTGTCCTCATCTAATTATAAATTCATCAGTTCTGTTAGACTTGGAGTTTAATTTAAACCTGATAAGAACAATCACAGCTTCTGTCCCGTTTTCAGGCTACCCTTTTTGTTAACAGGAGAGAATCTTGTGTTTATATGTGTTGCGTGATCAGATTTGTTAGAGGTGGAAAATTTAATAGAAAAATCTTGTAGTGAGTGTACGTACCCTCAATACTAGAGGATAATTAGTAAGTAAAAACCCAAATTGATGTTGGACCTAGAACTTGGTGGTATGTAAAATAGAATTTTACCCCCCTTCTAATTTTTCTTAAAAACATGTCTTCCGTATTGGATTTCCTTTCTATAACTACTATTGCCAAATAGCACTAATGTTTATTAGCTCTCTTGTTACCATATTTGCCACGTCCCTGAAAAATACTTGTTTTTTGAAAAAGTGCATTAGAATTCTGGCATCTGTTTTGAATGACAGTTACAGCAGCATCCTGTATTCCCAGCAAAGGGCTTGGGAATTTGTTGACACAAATTCATTTTCTCTGACTCCTGATTTTCCCACCTAGGCTCTGTAGCCTATGGTCTATTTTTAAATCCGACTGCTGTGCTCTGTATTGTGGTAGTTCTTTTCTTGAATTATTTATCATTGTTTGGAGCCGAATGGAGCAGTATGTTTTTCCACCACTGCTCATTAGAACCCATGTGTCTGTCTTCAGCTTGGTTGACAGATTTGGTTCATGTTAAATCCCACTGGCCCATCCTAGGAAGGCTGCAAGGCAGTGTGGGAACAGGCCACAACCTCTGATATACTGTAAGAGCATTCAGGCTTTTAGATTATGATTTTGTTTTGGCAGCAGTGACAAAGATAGAAGTTGTGCTATGTTCTTCCCTTAAACTGCTCAGAAGTAGAGATTATACTAGGTTGATTTTTTTGATGACAGTTATTTAATGTTTTTTACAGTTGTTTTAATTATAGGAGAGATGAAGGAGGAATCCCTATGAAAAGCATAGCATTGAATTTAGATTTATTTAGTTATAAATATGACTATTTGGGAGCACGTTTAAATTCTCTGGTCTTGGGGTATGAGTTGTGGAGGATTTGTTTGGAAGTATTCTCATTACCTGTTTTCTCACCTTTTAACAGACTGTAGGCTTAGAGGATGGCAAAACCTAAGTGAGACAATTATTTTGAATGATATTTCTTTTCTGTTTTCTGATACATAAGAACTGGTGTTTCTCTTTTTTCTTCATCTGTGTTTTCTCCTGCATCCTGTCTTTCATGAAAATATTTTTCTCTTTCTCGATGTTGCTGCTTTTTTTTCTCTGTGATGTATGAGTACACTATTACTTTCGTATTCTTTATTTTTAAAAATACTTTCCTTCGCATATCACTGTAAGTGGAAAGGGAATACCTGTCAATCATTCGGGCACTGGAGAAGGAGAAAAATTGTTTGTACCCCTGCCCTGTTGACCAGCTCTGAATTTGCCCGTACCTTTTTTTAAAAAATGGTATAGGTTTGGTTTCCATTCTTGGAGTAATGATGAAATACATTATGTTTTGTACCAGAACAAGGCTTTTGGCATTCTATTGCTGCTTTTGGTCCATGCCATTGGCTGAGAAACTGGTATCTCATTGCTCAGTGATTCCTATTATTATTATTATTATTATTATTATTATTATTATTATTTAATTCCCCTGTGATATAGTGGCTCTCAGTTGCATAAATCCTACATTAAAAAAAATATTTTTATTGATTTCAGAGAGGAATGGAGAGGGAGAGAGATAGTAACATCAACGATGAGAGAGAATCATTGATTGGCTGCCTTCTGCACACCCCCCGCTGGGGATCGAGCCCACAACCCAGACATGTGCCCTTGACCAGAATTGAACCTGGGACCCTTTAGTCCACAGGCCAATGCTCTATCCACTGAGCCAAACAAGCCAGGGCAAATGCTACATTTTTTAGCAGGACCTTAGGATAGCCCCATGCACTGACTGTTCTGACATTTCATTAAACTCAATTCTTTGGACTACATCAGCCAGGTTAAACTAAACTTAATTTACTATGTTTCCCTTGTGCTTTTGCTTTCCTCCAAGTTCTCTTGACTCTCTCTTTGTCAATACATTTCCATAACTCCTGGAAAAAAATCCATTGCAAAAGTATGTTCTTTAGGAAACTTAGGGGGAAATCAGAGGTGAATGGACTTGTTTTTCTCATTGTTTTGGATTTCTGTTGGTTTTAATTTCACCTATTTTTTTTAATTCCAGATTTTAATTGAAAGGGCAAGAGCAAGTATCTTGTTTTCTGTGAAATCTTATGAACTATTCCTACTTTTCTCAGCACATGGTAGGCAGCACCTGCCTTACAGTAGGGCAGACTCATTGGATTATAGGGTATCGATGTAGGGAAAGAGGGATCGTAAATATTGGAGATTCTCAATTTTGTATCTTTTAGAATAGTAAGAATATGATGACTTTACACTTTTATTTTGAATTATAGTTTGTAGACTAAAATAATACAGATTTCAAATTGAAAGTCCAAAAAGACATGCTTGGTTTCTAAAATAGCCAAGTTTTGCATAACAAAGTTAGAGCATTTTTATTACTGGCACGCCAGGAAAATGGCTCACTTGAGCAAAAGTCTGATGGTGTAGTTTTTCATCCTTAATAAATTTGAGTTCACATTAGTCTGTTGTGAAAGTCTTTTAGGTGACATTCAGAACCAGAATTGTATATTATCTGCAGGGCTGTTAACCTCATTTCCAAACCACCACTAACCCCTGGCACTTTTCATGGAGTTGGGTTTACCTTAGAGATCTTAATTCAGAACTAGGGTCCCTGACCTTTTAAGAATTAGAATTATGTTTCATTTCCTTGACCCTTTTTAGATCATTTGATGATGTTAAAGTGCTGGGATGTAGTGGTAAGGGTTGGGGATAGGGGCTTTCTGAGTGAACGCTAGGAAGGAGGAAAGCTACCTGAGGATTCTTATTTGCCTAATTCTTCTGTATGAAATCAATCTCTAGTTGTCTACTTAGCCCCACTCCAGCCATGCCAGGTGAATCTTCAGTCCCAATGCTGCTGACTGTTTGCAAAGTTAGGGAACAGTTCCCCAAGTTCACCCTTACTTCTGGCACCAATTGCAGAGTTCAGGGGTCCCCAAGACCACCCTTCGATTCAATGATTTGCTAGAAGGATGCATAGAACTCACTGAAAGCTGTTACATTCAAAATATGGTTTATTTCAGCAAAAGGATGCTAATTAAAATCAGCCAATAGAAGAGACACACGAGGCAGAATTCAGAAGGGTTCCAAATGCTGAGCTTCCAGTTATCCTCTCAGTGGAGCCATGGACAGTGTTAACTCTTCCTGGCGGTCATATTTGACAACACACATGGAATATTGCCAACTGAATAAACTCACTCGAACCTTGGTGTTCAGAGTTTTTGTTGGGAATCTATCACATAGATATGATTGACTTCCTGTGTAAGCTGACCTCAGTCTCCAGTCCCTCCTGAGGTCAAGCTGATTCTGTGACCCAAAGTCTCCACCTTAAATCACATTATTAGACTATCTGGCTTAGCTGAAAACCCCCAGTAAACAAAAGACTCTTAATATGTAGGACATTTCAGTGGTTAAGGATTATTATCAGGGAGCTGAGGCAAAGACCAGACCTCTCTTTGGGCAAGGTTAAATTGTTCTTTACTATGCACTCTGCTAATTTAATTCTCAGGCCTAACCAAAAGAAATGCAAAGGGAATGAGTTTAAATATTTTTGAACCATGCAAATTTATTTTTTGGTCATAAAGTTAAATGTATATAAATTAAATTTAATAAAAAAGTAGATCCACTGTACATAGGGAACCGTAAAGACTCCATCAAAAAATTATTAGACTTAATAAGTGAATTCAGCAATGTAGCAGGATACAAAATTAATGCCAAGAAATATATGGCATTTCTTTACACCAATAGTGAACTTACAGAAAGTGAGACTAAAAAAGCAATCCCATTTACCATCACACCAAAAAAATTAAGATACC